CTCCTCGAACACCGAGTCCTCGAACTCGCCGCCGATCAGCCAGCACGCCGGATCCATGGCGTGCAGCCGGGAACTGAGCCCACACTGACGAGAGCTGCGCCAGCCAGCTAGCCGCCAACCGGAAGCGACCAACCGGAAGCGACCAACCGGAAGCTGGTGCGCGGCTCGCTGGGATGCGTAGTCCGAGGCCGCGCCGATTTCCGGGGCCGGAGCGAAGGGCGCAAAGTTGCTCACAGCATTTCCTGAACTGTTAAGGCTATTTTTATTATATGCATTTTCAGTCTTAACAATTTAGGAGAGGCACAATGATTCCCATCTTCTAAGGTAAGAAGATATCAGGCCTTGAATAGTTGAAGGAACTTCTCAGTCCGTTTTTACCTGGCGAGGCGCTCAGAAACCACAGAGACGGCCCGGGTGTCTGTAAAAGAGACGCCATCACCCGTGACGGACCAGCGCGCCTTTACAAAAAAAAGCAGAAAGATGCTCTGGGGGGCTTAGTTAGGGTGCGTTCCTTCTGCCTGCCAAGACCACCAGATCTGGAGTTCAGATTAAGCCGGGCGTGTTGGGATTTTACACTTTCGGGATATCCCTTGACTCCAAAAAGCAGAAACTGCTGACAGAATACTAGCCAGTGTCATATCACACATTGTGCCATATCACAGAGCGGGTGATGGAGTTTTCACCGGATACCACTGACCAGTTCCTCTTCTCACACACTCTTCCAAAGGTTCCAAAACCAGTCCCGCAGGTTTCAAAATCCAGCTCTCTGGTTATTACTCCCCAAATTTAGAACCAGCCCATTCATCCAGCAGCTCCAGACAGGAAGTTCCACCTAGACAGCCGCCAGGCATTAGCTCACCTTTAAATTCAGCCAGAGGGATTTGTTTTCTTTTTCTTTTAGAGATTGAACCTGACTCCTCAGGTTGGCTCACATGGCCCTTGTGCAGCTAGCACCAGGTACTTCTACCAGGATGTTTTGCACACCCTCTAGCTGGTGTCTACATTCACTTTTGTCCCATGCTCACTTGTCCATCACCTCCAGTAGATCATGAGCTCATCCTAGGAAGGCATTGGGTCACTCATGTCTGTGTCTACCACTAAGCACAGCGTCTGGCACCCAGTACACCCTCACTCAATGTTTATCAAATGACTTAATCTATACTGTATGTCCTATATTGACACAGTATTCTGGTGTAGGTCTAAAATGTCTTTAAACTCGGCTTGGTCATATATGCCTGTATATGCCTGTAATCCCAGCACTCAGGAGGCTGAAGGAGGAGGATTGCAGTGAGTTCAAGGCCAACCTGGGCTACACAGCACATTCAAGGCTACCCTGAACTACCTAGCAAGACCCTGTCTCAGAAAAAAAAAAAATCAAAAACAACCAAAAAAAATCTTTAAAAATGTCTCTTGTATTTGTTTAGATGTGGGTCTTTTGGAAAGTGATCAGACTGTGAGGTCTCCAGTTACATAAGTGGATCAATCCATTGATGAGATAATTTAGTGGCATTATTGGGGATTAATAAAACTTTAGGAGTCAAGGCCTAGTTGAAAGGAGTGGGTCCTCTCTGACTCTTTACATCTTTTTGTTCCCTGGCAACCATAAAGCAGTCATCTTTGCTCCACCACACCCTTCAACTATGTTGTTTCTATCTAACCACAGGCCTAAAGCAATGAAGCCAACTATCCATGGCTAAAACTTTTGAAACTATGAGCCAAAATAAATCTTCCCTTATTTAAGTCCCTTAGCTTAGGTACTTTCATACAGTGATGAAAAGATAACATAGAAAATTAGTACCAGGAGTGGGGCCTTGATTTCCAAGATGCTCCCAAGACATATTTCCTATTGTTCTCTGCAAAGTACTTTGCTTCTTTTTTGTTTGTTTTTGTTTTTTGCTTTTTTGGTACCAGAGATCGAACTTGAGTCACTGCGCTTTGGAACCACTGAACTAAATCCCTGGCCCCCTTGGCTTCTTTTTAATGACACTAATCTGTTCAATAACCACATGTTCCATGGTCCCAAATTTACACATGCTTCTTTTCTAGCCAAGCTTCAAGTTTCTCAAATTTGTTAGTTCTTTTTGCTCCCAGTTCTCACTGTAAAAGTAGTCAGCCAGAAATATATATGCCACTGCCTGAATGCTATGCTACCTTGAAATTTCCTCTACTAAATTAATTAGTACATTGCATTTAAATAGCCTCGCACAGTCTTAGAGCATGGATAAAATGTAGACAACGTCTTTGTCAGAATGTAACACTCAAGACCTCTACAGCAATTCCTAATAGAGTTGTAATTTCCTGAACCCTCAGGAAACATAAACCTTTACTATCTGCAATCCTTTCAGCATTCTGATCCACCAGGATCACCCATTAAACTCCACTTACAATACCCTGACCTTTTTATAAGCTGCATTTCTAATTTTTTCCAAGTTTCTCCCACAAGCAAGTTCCAAAAGCTTCTGAACCACATGATCAGGTGTAGTCACAGCAACAACCCCATTTCTGGTACCAGTTTTTTGTTACTCAACTTCTTGTCATTGTGACAAAATACCTGAGATAAACAACTTAAAGGAGGAAAGGTTTAGTTTGATTTATAGCTTTAGAGGTTTTAGTCTGTGGTCAGCTGGCTCCATTGCTCTAGGGATGTAGTGAGGAAGAAACATTATGGTGGAAACGCATGGTGGAGCAAAACTGCTCATGGCATGGCAGCCAGGCAGCAGAGAGGGTGAAAAGGATCCAAATAGGAAGGGGCCAGAGGCAAAATATAATTATCCATAACCAGCTTCTTTCAACAATGCCCTCCCTTCTCATGTTCTAATAATACCATCAGATTATAAATCTATCAATAAATTAATCCACTGATGCAGTTGGGAGTCTTCATGAGCCAGTGACTTCCAAAAGCCAGTTTTCTGAACATAGAAGCTTTTAGGGGGACATTTTATACCCAAACAATATACACACATTATTCATTTATCCAGTCCATGCATAATGCAGTGTGTCTGAGGGCTTTCTCTAGGCTGTGAGCCAAGGATATACCACTCATGGTCTCTGCTCTCATGAAACCCCATACAAGATGGTGAAGTAGAGAATAAACATAAGCAAATTAATTACAGATTGTGGTGATGTCCTATGGTAAAGAATTATGGAACTTAGTAATCTAAAACATCTTCTGTATGAAACCACATCTCTTCTTACCCATACAGTTTTCCTCTTAGCAAACATTCTCAGCTTTCATAGATATTTATATTCTTTTTTCCTCATTTCTACCTTTTTTTCTGTTCCTTTTGAGCAAAATGTATCCTTATATTGCTGGCATGAAAATGATCCCACTAATTTTCATGTATTTTTAACCAACATATATTAATATTTTGAGCTCACACAGATATCTCATATTCTGGAAATTGAGTCAAATAAAATTTGTTGCATATCTGCTATAAGCCTAGCACTGTTTTCAGAGTGAAAGATACAGTGACAAATAAGATCCTTGCCCTCATGAAACTTAAGTTTTAGTGGGAAGACAATAAACAATCCATGTTCTTGGTGTAGAGTCCTAGTCCCTAGTTCCAGAGCAAGCACAGAAGACCTTTATTTACAAAGAACTAAATGTATCTTCCAACCTGTGGAGGCTGCCTGAAGGACTAATGGAAGATGCTCATTTGTTTTGCATAACTTGGCACTTGGACTAAAAAGTAGTGGCCATTACTAGAAAACACTGCAAGGGAACCAATGACCTGAAAATGCCCATGTCAACTTTATAGTTGAGTCATACAGCACACTGCAAAGGACTGGAGGGAAAGACTGTGGGATATTCTTTGGGAAGATAGGGCATTCAAAAATTCCTGTACATTTGGGAGAATTAGAAAGAAATACCACATACCCAGGACAAGATGCATACTCATAAAAGACCTAGGCAGACCCTAAGTGTTCACCTTGATCTTCTTAGGTTCACCACAAGCCTGGAGTGTTGGAATATCCCAGCACTGAGCAATGGTCAGATAAGAAGTATTTGGCTTTTTATTTTTCATTTCTTTTCTTTTTTTCAACATAGTATTACGAGTTCTAGCCAAAGCAATTAACACAAGAAATAAAAAGCATCTGAATTGGAAAGGACATCTATTCACAGGTGACATGATCCTATGTATAGTAGAAAGACCCAAAGAATCCACAAGAGAGCTACTAGAGCTAATAAATTCAGCAAAGTCGTACAAGATCAACAAATGAAAATCAATTGTATCTATACCCCAGCAATGAACAATCTAAAAAATGGAAATTAAAAAAGCAATCCCATTAACAACAGCATCTGGGCCAGGGATTTAGTTCAGTAGTGCTGCTGCCTGCTTCACAAGCACAAGATCCCAAGTTCGATCCCCAGTACCAAAACAAACAAAAAACAACAACAGTATCTACAATAAAATACCAGCTGGGCATGGAGGCATACATCTGTAATCCTAGCACTCTGTGAGGCTAAGTCAGGAGGATTGCAAATTCAAGCCTAGAAGCCCAGCTTGGGCAACTTGGTGAGACCTTGCCTCAAAGCTTAAAAATAAGATTTAAAAAGGGGTTGGGATGTAGTTCAGGGCTAAGACCCTGGGTTCAATACCTAGTACAATCAATAAAATATGTAGGAATAAATTTAAGCAAGGTGAAAGACTTGTACACTGAAAACTATAGAACATTGTTGAAAGCAGTGAAGGCCTAAATACACAG